CCATTTGCCCCAATTACCACAAAAATTTATTGGAAAAATAGTACTATAGAGTCAAAACCTATTACCCGCCCGGCAAGATGGTAATAAAACTTTCATTAGAATTGAACGACTCCTTAACTATATAAACTTAAAATATTTGTAAAATCGTTATTGACGTTCATATGTGGGCATGAGATGACCAACTTCAAGGCAAAGCCATTGTCATAAAACTAATGATTTTACGTTTGGACTTGTTTGGTAGCATTGTTGAGGCTGAGTCCTATAAAATTTGTGAATAATAAATAAATAAGAAGTAATAAATCTTACGAAATGTATGTATTTTAAGTGAGTTCGAATAGTTTAAATTAGAGATCCACTGGGCTTATAGAAAGGCAACCAACAGAAAGGCAGCAGATAAGACACATCAGGTGGGGCAGTTTTTTTTCCAATATTTTAAACTCACATGGGGCTCACGCCCATGTGAGTTTTCTGTTTAAAATCTGTTGCAATCCTTATGTACATTAGCATTTTCTCTTTAAATTATAATTTAAACAGTGCTATGTCAGAAAAATTATGGTCACATGATGAGGGTTTTGGATACTTTCGTCATTGAGGATTAATAATGCAACTATATTGAAAGATTTAGGATTAACTTTCAACTCAGATGATATTGCTTTACTAATAATCATTCAAATACAATCACAAGCATTAATTAAAAGATATTTATAGTGACAGGGAGTGCAAGTAGGAGATTTAAAATTGCATCCTCTGATGTGTGACAAGGGATCGACCAAAAAAAAAAACAAGATTATTTAATTAATTTTTTTTTTTTTTGCTTGATTTATAATTATGTTTCCTACATAACATAAGTACTAGACCATGTGCCATGTCGTCTATGCAGTTGAATGTAACGTGAAATGAATTTGACAATGAAAATATACCAATTTGCAATCCTCTTGTGGTCATGTCTCTTAACAATGAGGAAAACCATTGATTGAGAGATTAGACATGGTAGGATGGCAAGGAACCTCCAAATTTCATCTTGTTATATTAATAAGAAATGCATATTATTGTAGATTTGACCAATCAAGTCGATCACTTTTCGTCTCTATCACAAACTATGCAAGTGGTTCATGTATGCAAATGAGATATTCAGCAATGAGAGGAAAAAAATGATTGAATAAAGGAATTCCTGAAGATTTAGCCCCCTGTTTGAGCCCCCTTTTGGGGGTGAAATGTGTTTTAGAATAATAATTTTTGAAGAATGTATAATTAAAATATAACGATAAATTTTCGATTTACATATAAAATTATTTTATGGGAGAATGTGGTTAAAAATGAGTATTTGAAAAAAGGGAACCAAACATGGGCTTAAGAGTCACGTGTATTGATATTAAGAATGACCCATTATTTCGATAAATCATTGCCTCAAACAAAATAAGACTACACAAATTACCTATGAAGACACAATTTTTTCAAGTAAATTAAAAATGTAGTTCCCAGCCTTTGACTTTATTTGCAATCATGCCCTCAACCTTTTTTAATAAACCAAACCTCAACCTAGTGAAATCCTTTCCTAACGCTCGTGCAATCATACAAAAAATTCTTTATAATTTAAGTGTTAAACTTTTTTTCTTACTCACGTTCAGTTTTCTATTTCGTTTAGAAAACAGGAAGACTTCGTCGCTAGACATTATTGCCATTGTTTGTACATGATTTAGACGTTTCATAAGTAACATATGCGTCCTTACGGAAACACGACAACAAGAATGTCTGTGTCACAATGCAAATAATTTCAAGATTATGCCCTCATTAGGCCCCCATTATTTGCCATTTTAATTTTTGAAATAATATTTTTTTGAAAAATATATGATCAAAAAAGAAGAAAAAGTTTTTGATTTATGTATAATATTATTTTAATGGGGCCAACAGGGGCTAAATCGCCTCAAGAGTCGGCACATAACACAGATAAGCAGGACATATCTCTGTAGACAATTGTGAATACCGACAGGGAGAGAAAGGGACTGCTTCCTCCTTACTTAAACTACAGTCCCAAGCAGAGAGAGCACGAAATTTACTACATCTACTGAAAGAGACAAGAACTTCACTAGACGAGGAGAACCCACTTGAGAATACTGCAAACTCGAACCTGAATTGCCTCCAACTATCATATTAATCCCCGCAATGTATATAACTGAGATAATCCATAGATATCTCAAAAACTGAATACTCAAATACAAAAAGAGCTCGTATAATGATTACGAGTGAGACAGAGAGAGAGAGAGCAATCACGTTACCACATTCAAACATTCACAAGGTACTAGTCATGGATGAGAAGCTTACATCAGGAAACATATATGAACTACAGAACACACAGCGATAGATATTAAATAAATCAACAGATTCTTACTCTATGGCTATACAATCCCAAAGCACTTCAGGAAAACATGTAAAAGATGCAAATAATTTGAAACAACTATGATTTTTCCAACTTCACTTTCAGCTTTTACAGCATACTCTTCACAAAAACCAAATAAAACTGCAGCTACACGGTCGCACACCATCGTACTCATCTCCTCCATCCGGGCTGAAGACCCTTGTCTGAAATGTGATGTACCAAATAAAAAACTTGTTCAGAAAATGCAGAAACTCAGAAAAATCAAAACCAATAAGTAAGATGAAACTAGAAAAAAGTGGAGCACTTGTCCAAAAGCAAATAAAATCAAAGAAGAAAAAGAGAGTTCTAAAATTTTCATTTACTACCATACTAGGGACACATGGAACCAAAACTAAGAAAATCAGTCCAGATTCAAACTGGAAATGTTTTTCAAAGAGTTTCATCTTCTTGTTCCTCCACCCCTACAAGCTATAACAGATATGCAGAGACCTTTCTAATACCATATGAGAGAAAATTAATGAAGTAGATAGATAAGATTTGATCCATTAACAAAAATGTAATGGAAAATTGGAAAATATGCTCACTCAACTAACTTGCACAAAATAACAGAATTCTTCCACTTACCATCTCTAGAGGACATCAAGGATTTGTTATTTTTGCTTCCACCCTTATCATTAGCTTGAACTGGCCTCTGCACCCGAGGTGACAATGAATTCAATTTGCCATTAGCTGAGGCTGGTAGAGAATGACGGCGGACAGAACCATTTTCAGACCCATCATCACTAAGCTTTGAAGCTCCTTGCACTCTGAGCTTTGCTTTTGCAGACTCAGTTGCTTGCATATAACTTGGCAAGCTTGGGGTGTTCTGCGAGACATTCTCAGGAAACTCATGCTTTGTTGGAAGAGATCTCCTCCTCCTGATTTTCTGATTCTCCTTGCCAGTCTGTTCTTCCTTAGAACCCAATTCATCATTGATAGTAGGATTTGTCTCCATCTCCACATCATTTACCGGCGAATGTGGCCGGACAGCAGGATGATCAGATTGTGACACCTTATCTGTAATTGGTGAGGGTGCTTCAGACAATGCCAGTTCATCAACTACAGCATTTGAAGAAAAAGCGTTTTCAGAAGATTTTACAATCTCTTGTTCAGAAATATCAGGAGCTGCAGAAGTAGACTCATTTTTCAGACTAGGGTTTGACTTCTCAGTTTCGGTTTCTAACTTTTCAGAAGCCAGTTCTACGGATGCAGAAATCTTTCTCAAATTGTGTTTAACCCTCTCAAGTTCATTTTGTGGTTGTTCCAGCACTGTTTCTGTCGGATGAGTCACAACTTTCTTTGGGTTGCGTTTGGGTTTATCTAAATGAGTGGATGCTAAAGCGCCGTTGTCCCCATTGGCTGTAGTTGAAACCTTTCTGACAGTTCTTTTTGATTTTCCAGTTTTGGCCTCAACAGCAAGTGGACCAGCCTGTTTTCTTAGAGTTTTCACGTTAACAATTTTCTTTGCTCGAGCAGGTGGTTGCCAAAAGTGAGACCGTGACCAACGTTCAAGCCAATTCCAAGCTGAATTTGATTCAGCCAGATCATATTGAAGGCTCAAGGGCATAGTAGTTGGCAATGAGGCAAGAAGCTAGGAAAAGCAATAAGAACGCCATAAGTTCCTAATATGCAGGGTAACAGATCTGATTGGGAAAATAAACAACTTCAACACTTCAATCTTCTTGTAACATTATACAACATTTCAAATTTGTCTTGTTTTGATGTAAGATTTCAGTTAAAGCAGAGCATATGAAATGTCTCGAAAAGAAATTCCCAACATTGAAACATTAATTGATGAATAAAACTTCACCTTTCCTAAACAGGAAGAGGAAACAAAAATTAATCATTTTTCTTGCCTTACTCAACTAACATAGACATGTAAGAAGAGACATATTTCGAGCACGTTAAGGTATAAAAGGAAAACAAATTGCACCTTAAGGGCAAAAGTATTTGTTCTTAGGTTCTCTGAGCTTACTCCAAATGCGCCCACCCGTTTAGCAACCTGGTGAAGTATAAAATTGCATCCACAGTTATTTAGTAGTAAAAAGTAATATTCAAAATTCAATACTCCAAGTACAAATAACATAAATTAAATAACCATGGGAGAGAAGAAATTTAAACGCGAACAGATGATGAGCCTTTCTGCATCACATTTCAAAAATCAGAACTTTTGCTTGGTGTATATATATGGACTTGAGTGTTGCTAACATCAGGTCACATTATGAAGCATTCATACAACATCAGTACGGATCTAACTGAAACAACTGTTTTAACAACTAACAAATATTAGAAAAATTGTAGGCAAGGTAAGAAAAGCAACAAGAAGGATCTTTTCTGGTAGGTATATTACCTAAGAGAAATAGAATAACTAATTGATTTCCATCATACAGCTAATATCCCGCAAATATGTTTTCTTTCAGGATCAACAAGCAAATGAAAAAGGCAAGACAGGTTGCATGATCAGGTTATGCTTCTCGGAGGTACCTGAATTTCTCCCAAATTATACTTTATAAGCACTCCTGGCATAGGACTGGAGAGTCTGACAATACGTCCACGAGCCAGTGCCTGGAACTTAACAATTGCATGCATGCAGCGGAAAGTAGCAATTGCCTGCCTCCTTACCAAGTGTCCACGAATAAGGGCCTGTAGCCTTATGATACCCTTCAGAGCCCGAAATGCACGACGAGCCTGTGGCGATGGTTACAGCAGAATCAAACAATATCGCACAAAGGAAATTGTTAATTATAATGAAACCATATAGTTTTTTATGTTCATTTAACAATGCAGAAAAATAAAAAAGATCGAGGTAATAAGCAATAAGCATCTAGCAGCCCTGAACTAATAAATAGATAAACAGTCATGCATATTGTAAAAAAAAAAAAAGCAAAAACAATCGCTACAAATTCATAGAGAACTTCTCTTAAGATAAAAGGCAGACATTATCACAAATTTATTAGATAAAAGATATGAAAACAAAGAAAAAGCAGGTTATTGAAATTTAAAAGTTAACAGCCTGGTGCATGCTTGACAAGACCAACGTAAATTAAAAATGGCCCAGCTAATAAACATGTCACATTCTTCTGCAATGATGTCAACAAATATACGTCAGCTTCATGAGATGAAATTCGAGTTAATATGCAAGAGCATATTACCAAGTATCCCCTAAAGGCAGCTTGTGCTTTTGTGGCAGCTTCCCCTTGCCTTCTTAACTCAGCAGTATCAATTGAAATGAGATCCAATGTACTTTGTGCACCCACACCTTGATTCACGGTTAACACATCAGCATTATCACATGGAGCACCTGCAATTGTGCCCTTCTCAAATTCTACATTATTTGGACCTCTATCAGTAACCTGACTTGACAAATCCAAGCTTGCCAGGGAATTTGCAGACAGATCTTCTGCTGGTGTCTTGGCAGCAGCCTTTTTCTCAATTTTAACATTCTTCACATGCAGTTATAGTTTCAAATTAGCATAACATTATTGTTGTATATTAAACATTTATTGGAAATAAAATGCATTAATAACTTAGTCAACAGTTTTCTCACTTTTGATAAATTGGACTTAGATGACTTCTTTCCAAAAAGAACAGTCTTGATCCATTTTCCAGGAGACTTCCCCATTGCCGGCAGGCCGCTGTAAGAAACAATGACGATCAATTCTTGAATTATTTCCAATAAAATTAGGATCTTGCTACGTGTAATGACACTCTACCATTTGTCAATTTAAAACACAATCAACTTTTTCATCCAATCTTTTCCCTCCACATCATATTACGCAATCCATTATGTACATTTTTTATGTACAAGTAACAAAATCCATAAAACTATGCCTTAATATGCAATTGTATAGGATGCATATGTACAACTATAGAAGATAAAAGGAATACTGACATACACACAATAAAAGTGTGAGTAAATTCATTGCTCGAACAATTACCGCTGGCAATATTGAGAAGTGGAGTAAAAACTAAAAAAATGTATGAAATCCATAAGTAACATATGACAAATTATGAGGTTGATCTAGTTACCTTCTCCGATTCATCTTAAAATTTGCCAGATCTATAATCTAACGCATGAATTTACCTTAAATGAATTATATGTGATATCTAACTCATTAACTTTTCCTTAAATGAATTATATGTGAACGAGGAGAAAATTAAAATTATGAGCCGAACTTCAACTAACAAAAAAAATTAGAATACAACAAATTCAATTAGCAGTAATGTTTATTCATCTTTAAAAAGCCCTAAAAAAGCAATAGATTAATACCCAGTAATGGAAAGAATTAATCAGCTAAAACAGAGAAGGAATATCTGAATCAAAACCCATAAGAAAGGGTAGAACCCAATAAATATATATACATACATGCAAAATCGCAAAAACACAAAAAATCAAAAAATTGAAGTGTGCTTGAGGGCAATGCGGTTCAGATCTGGCATTCTGATAATATGTAAAATAAAGGGTTCCCTTCAAGCTAAGATCCCACAACCCATTTCCAGAACACACACAAAATTCACAGAGAGAGATCCAGCTCTAGAAAGGTAAAATCCACCCAAAAAAATAAAAAATAAAAAAATCAAATTAAGGATAGAAATAGGAAACTTGAGGTGAAAGATTGATTGAAATGGAAGGAAAAACACAAACAAAGGAGAAAATTTACTCTAAAACCTCATACCGTGCACTCAGGTAAGAGAGAAATGGATCCGTCCTTGCTCGCTCACTCACTCCAGCGTTATTCTTCACTTTTTTTTTTGTGCACTGTTGGGGCTGGTGGGGGTGGTGGGGTGTTTAGAAGGGGTTATGCATCAATTACCTTTTGACTATTTTGCACCTATGGTTCCTATTGTATTAGATTTACGTGAATTCAGGACCTATCGTTTCAATTTTGGCAAAATATTCCTAAATTAACCTTTAGTTTGCAAGAATGGTCCTTTTCGTTCCTGCCGAGCAAATTGGTCTTGAAGGCTTGCGTGCATTGGAGTCTCCAAATTATAGAAGGGCGAAAGTGTCCATTCCTTTACTAGCCCTTATTACGCCAAAATAATTCCACTCTTTTTTCGTACTAGCTCATCTCTGTCTCTATTTATATTAGTACTTGTATTTTATTGTATTTTTGACAAAAAGAAATTCATTTATGAAGCAAGTTATTTTCTTCCAATCGATCATTGATTGTGTGAATGCAGTTGGTAATTGTGCGAAGATATTGTGGACTAAGAACCTAGGTCGATGGTTTTTCTTTGATTTTGTGCATAAATTCTCCTTACCAATATGTTTTTGTTAACACCTTATTATGTGATATCTGCTTAGGAAATCGATGGATGTGGATTTTTGGCTTGGTGCAATCTAACCATGTGCCTCAATCCAAGGAAATAATCTCAAGCTTTCTTAGGTTAAAGAGGAAATAGTGCCATGATTCAAAGTCTCTCATAAGTCATAAATCTTGGGTTCGAATCCTGAAAAACGCGATAGAAAGTCGTGAGAGATAAAATGACGAGTAATGTTATTCATCCCCAGTGGGGATGAATAGCATTACTCTAAAATGACATATATCCTCCTAAAACGGGGAGCATGTATAATATTATAGCTTTGATATAGAGGCTCTAATTGTTATAAAAGAAACATGCATTTTTTGTAATGAACCTGAACCTTTGTGTCCAAACCACTAACAAATTTTGGCATAAATGGTTCTTAACATTTCGAAGAGACTGGCCTTAACTTTTGTAATACTTTGGTAAAATGGATTCCTAAAGTTCGTAAAATTTTGGCGAAAATAGGATTTGACACTTCTACAAGAACAACCACAATGCAATTCAACAATAAATCAACAACAATAAACAACATCTGTACATGACATTAACATCAAAATGAAATAGCACGGCTTCATGTAATCCATCAACACGCTTCAAAAATTAGGCATGGTAACAAAGACTCAAATCTGGTAATCAAAAAGGCCAATTCACTTGCCAGATGCTCGTTTAATCATGAATCCAAATTAAAGGTTTGTTTAGCACGAAACCATTACACAGTGGCATCAAAATATATTTAGAAAAAGTCAGAATGCTTAACAAAATGTCTGAATACTTCACATCCTAACTACATTTTTACTATAAATAAATAAATAAACAAGTTCATAATATAAAATATGAATACATTGTTGGAATTTGGTTAATAATAAAAGTTGATTATGTATCAACTTCGGTCAAGTATTTGGATAGGTTCCGATAGTCAAATTATGCAAATGAATAGACCAACTTGTTCTACTCGTTGAGTA